TGCTTAAAGCGCTTTTCGTTTATTTGTTCCCAATGAAGCTTTACAATATGTCATCTATACATTCATACAGATAGATAAAATTGGAGTGTCTGTTTGTAATATTAAAATACCCGCTTTTTACTAATTGCATATGGATGTATTTACGGTACATTTACCAAAATAACATTTTTTTCAATTTTTGTCCGTCTGTTCCGGCTAATCTCTGAAGCGGCTGGACCGATTTGGACGGGACTTTCACTGGCAGATAGCTGATGTAATAAGGAGTAACTTAGGCTTTTATTTTAGAATTTTTTTAGTTTAAATTCCACGCGGACGGAGTCGCGGGCACGGCTATTCTTATAAATAAGTCTTTAAGAATGATCTTCGCAAATGGACGTATTTAATGAAGATTGAAAACAGTTGGGAGGCAATCACCCGCCGTGGAACATTTTTGGTAGTTAGATTAGCAGGATTGATTTCATTTAATGCCTTTTAACATCACTGCCGCTTCGTCCTTATTTCATGTTGTCTGTAGCATAGTTGCATGTCCGAGAGATATCATTAGTTACATCTTCCAATTCATATCACATCGCATCGCATTTTTTCCCTTATTATTTTGCTTGAGCGATTCAGTGTGAACTCGTGGTTCGTTGTGTGCGCTATTATAATAGGCTTACTATTGGGCCGCAGAAGTTGTAGGGCGCGCCGTCGTTGTAGTTGTGCAAACCGCCGTCTGTGGTTTCGCAAGGTACGCCTCGCATTGTTCGCGCCGTTCACCGCCACGACCTCGCGAGGCGCCGCCGGAGAGCGCTTTCGGCGTACTTCGAGGCGTATTTGCTTTTTATGTGAGAACGGTAGCGAGCGAGATGGCGGTTCACCAACTTCTTTTGCGTGCGACGGTGGCAGCAAGCTGGCTGTTCTTCCTGATGTTGAGTGATAACCGCCGCCCGTGGACAGTTGCAACACCCGTAGGGTTGCAGATGCGTTGCCATCTTAGTGTGAGAGTATCTGGCTACCTCAACCACCAGACGAAACGCAGAAGTATTACATATTACCATTTCACGCTGATCTTCTGTGAGGTCGTGCACTTCAACGGACGGAGCTGTCCATTTGTGCAACAGCACAGACTGTTGCGTGGCTCCACCACAGTATCAACAAGATTCCGTTCGCACCACCCCACCGGTGACCGTTATATATGGACATATTCAACCTGTTGATGGAGTTGATGCGAATGTGCTCTGACATCAAAGAGCGTCGCGCAGTCTTCCCTTTCGAAGAACTTTCTTTTCGTCCGAGAATCATCTCGGCTAATTCCTAAATTGAAGGCGCACAACGCATACTATGCGATTAGAATTTGGCGAACATACATGAATAGGCTGATAAACACAAATACTCCTTTGCATCACGAAAACTGGTAAGAAAACAGCTATTTATTTTCAAAACTGTATAAACCATACAGTTTAAAAATAAATATGAACGTAATTTTCTTATTACTAATCTATTTTTAGACGCACGGCATGCAATCTTTTATTTTATTTAAAAATAGTTATTTTAGTCTCGACTTTTGAAGGCTCGTAGTATCGAGTTTACATTGAGTACCCTATTTTGGTATTTTGAGATAAACTCTGTAATGCATTCTTGTAGCGTGCCTTACAGCATGTTATATCAAGCAATATGTAGAACGGTAATTGTTGTTCAGTGATTGATAGTAGGCACTAGTGTTTATTTCTAAATAAATTTTTAATTTCAAAAAACATCTGGTTTTCATTGAAAATGTACACTAAGCAATATAAATTGATGATGTATACATTTCGAATTCGATGTTCTCAATTGTTGTTTTTTCAAACTTAATAGGAAATAAAATTTTCATGCTGTGAAACTATGATAAGTAAAAAAATTATCTCAAAGATGCAATATGAAAATCTATCTAAAAATTTGTTCGGGTAGTAGGTTTTTTGTTTAATTGAATTTTTCAAAGTATAGATTTAATATAGGTATAATGATTAAATATGTTTCAAGGTTAGAGGATAACCCTCTAACCTTGAAATATATTCAATATTTTGATTCAGAATTCATCCAATTGTTTTAATTACTGGTAATGTAATTGTTATATTACATGATAGTATACACGGAAAAACCTTTACCAATATTACACCAAGGCTGCGTGATAAATCTCCTTTCTTGGGCGGTGTTAAATTATTCTCTAGATAGTGCCTTACCGTCTCCTTTTACCGAACCGTAGTAACTATCAAGGCTAAAAATAATGGCATATAGAGTATTAATATTATAAAATTTTTCATTGCGTCTGACAAGTAGGGTATACGGGACGCACTACGTTAAAGGTAGCAACGCAACTGATCCTAATTGTTCGCACTGTTGCGGGGCCACGCTATAGCTCCTGGTGTTGCTCTAATCACAAGACAGGCCCGCAGAAAAACTAGGCCTCACAGAAAACCAGCTTGAAGTATTATTTAGAATGAGATAGTGTATAATAATCTCTAGTATTATACTTTCGGCTTTTGACTGTAAGGAAGGAAGGTCATATATAATCTGCAATCCCTCAGGTGTTCTACGATGTCCATGGGCAGCGGTAATAACTATATGTGTATTTGGCATTAACACAGCGGTAACCACTTTTCTCATTTAAAGACATAAGGAAATTAGAGCGTTATAAGGACAAATGTTTGATGACTCCGTAGCGCAGTTCCCAAGGTATTGGCTTCGGCGTCGGGGGTCGTGGGTTCGATCCCCACACCGGACAACTATTTATGTGACCCACAGATAGTTGTGCGCGCATCCGCATCGGTTGTTTGTCCACGTGAAACTTAAGTGTAAGTGTAAAACGACCTTACAACAAAATTAATGTTATTCTAGAGTAAGGGTAGTGTTTTTTTACAAAAAATATAGAAAATATAGATTGCATCTCTTCACCTTCATTACGAGTATAACGATCAGAATATAAATCTTATCGAATATACTCCTAGACAATGTGATTGCATTATTTCGATGCGAGGCAACTTTCAAACGGTCATGGGTAAGCATTGTGCGAAAGAGAAAACCGGCCGAGATAAAATTGTCGCAAGACTACAGCTCCAATGTCGCCATTTCGTTCTTATACATAAGTACGCACGTAAAAAGTTATACTTTTTTAGCGTAACGAAGGAAAAATAACTAAAACCTTTTTCCTAGGTGGTAGTAGTCGTTTTTTTGTGAAAAAAATAAGACATTGAATGGAATTGATAAAGGTTTAATTTAATAACTTGGAATTAAATGTGAACTTAAAGCAAGAAGTCGCCCGCGAAAATTGTGATTGCTCGGCTAATTTATATGATATAAATATAATTTATACACGAAAACCTTCTCCGAAACACGCTGCATCTTGTCGTGTATGTATTTTTCGCAGTATAACCGTACAAAAAACCGGCTCTCCAGAAAAGGTGTTATTGGTTGCCACGGTAACACCGTGACCTTGGTGCCACGCATTTTAAAAATTCACTCACCATTTTTTCCTACAGACGCCAAAAGATGTATAATTTAAATTTTTAAAATCCAAGGCCGTGATAGCTCAGTGTCCGTGCGCTCGCCTTTAATTCAATATACTCGAGCAACCTGAGTTCTATCCCCGGTGCCGGCACCAATGAAGTTTTTAACTTTAAGTGCTGACTTATCACGTGCTCCGCGGTGAAGGAAAACATCGTGAGGAAACCTGCACATTTTCGAAATAATAACAAAAAAAATATATATTTCGAAGGTATGTGAAGTCCGCCAATCCGCAGTGGGGCCGCGTGGTGGACTATGCCCTGATACCCTCTGTATAGAGGAGGCCTTTGCCCAGCAGTGGGACATGTATAGGCTGTTACTTTTTTAAAATCTATTCCAATAATATTGTTTATGCGAGAACGAACTGAGATGTTGCGCATAATTTATTGCAGACAACAATACGAGTATGTGGCATTGTTTATACGATAATCCGATGTATCTGCCGTAGACATGTAATTACGACACTTTGCCGCGTGATACTACATGCACTTAGTGTAGGTGTAGGCCGCATATTGCGTGTTTATAGTTTATTCGCAACGATCGCCAACGACCGTCGCTGTATCGCTAGAAGGTTTTAACTGTATAAACTACTAGCTGCTGCCGGCGACTACGTCTGCGTAGAATAGGCTGAAGGCGTAACATTCAGACCCGACTGCGCTACGCAAAGGAGGATTTGTATTTATCAGCCTATGTATTTATGTTCTTACCTTTGTGGCCCTATATATACGACAAATGTGGGTTGATTTCTTTTTTTTTTATTAAAATTCAATTTGGTGACAATCTGATTCTTTATTGCGAAAACGATAGGTCCTTTAAAAATTTCCGCCATAGTGATTGACCCGTAAGCTTATGTATGTCTATGTTCACTGTGCTATTGTTTCTCGACAATTTGAAATCACTAAACTGACTGCTTAGATTCAATGTTAATTATTAATCTAGTCGTCTCCGTTAGGTTACATGAGCTCGCGTACAGGCAGTTTGTTTATTATTAGTTCGCGGTCCGTCGTAACTGTTTTGCTCGAACACGTGATACAAACCGACTCCAAGGTCCCCCGCACTTTGTATGCTATTGTTCCTGTGAAGGGAAAATTTAAACCTTCGGCGTACTGCGTTCGATTCTCTTTACGCGTGCGCTTTAGTTCGCGTGGTGCATTTGTAATATTGCATTACGTGTGAATCGAAAGTCGCAAGTCCATTCCGCGCCGGAAGAGAAGCTTGCTGCAAGCCGGATATTAAGCCCGCTTCGTGTTCGACTGGATTGTACCTATATAATATACACACATACACACAAATGTATGTATGTCAATAGATCACGAGAATGTTTTGTTTCGTTAACGGTTTGATTGCGAAAATGATAATCAAATAATTGAACGAATTATACATTGTAATTTTTTTCCGTGTCGTATGAATATTCGATGTATAGTTGAGTGCATCTATTATTATCTCAACGCATACGTGAACGGCCAATGCCTCTGTTGCAGCAACAGAAATTCGGTTGCGGCGACTACGAGCCGCCCGCCAAGCTGCAATGCGGCGGCGCCGGCGGCGGAGGGGCCGGCGAGGGGCTCACCAAGTTCTCCGTGGAGATAGTCCAGCAACTGGAGTTCACCACGTCCGCGGCGGACTCACAGCCGCAGCAGATCTCGACTAACGTCACGGTGAAGGCGCTCGCGAACGCGGTGAAGAGCTCCGGCTCGCCGCCGCCCGCCCCCCAGCCGCCGCGCGCCCCCTCGCCCCTGGACTGCGAGCGCGAGTGCAAGGCCGAGTGCAAGTCCGAGGTGGCAGACGACGAGTTCGTCGGGCTGGACGAGTGCGCGGCGGCCCTGGAGCGGGACGCCGCGTCGGCGTTCCCCGGCCTGGCGGACCTGATCGGCGAGGAGGACGGCGACGACGCGTTCGAGGACCTCATCACGGAGATATCCGAGTACCCGGAGTTCATGAAGGACTTCGACCTCGACGCGGGCAAGATGAACGGCGGCGGCGGGCTCGCGGGCGGCCTTGAGACGAACGACGGCGAGCCAGCGCGGCCGTACGCCGGCGGCGAGATGTCGCCGGCGGCGCAGACGCTCAAGCACATGGCGGAGCAGCACCAGCAGGCGGCCGGTGGGGACTGGTCGCGGTATCGCGGCTACAGCGGCTACCGGCCCCGCCCCCCGCCCCCCACCATCGACCACCTGCACATGTCGCAGCAGCAGCAACTCCATCTCACGCAGCCCCATCACAATCTCCAGGTGAGGATTTCGATACGCATGAGCTATTCTATTAAAATATATTTTGTCAATATAAAAACATTACAGTTACTTGTTGGTTGTCAAAATTTCACTACTACCGGTTCAGCGCGATTTTTTTTAAACATTATATGACAGTGTTTGTTTACAATGTAAAAAAAGGTAAGTAATTTCCAGAATGTTTTATCATTCAAATAATCACACATATTATAATAGCCTTCAATACAAAAGCTCGTATAACGTATAGTATTTTGATGATGTAATCACTCCGTGATGATGACTCCGTGATGATGACTCCGTGGCACAGTTGCCAAGGTATTGGCTTCGGCGTGGGAGTCGTGACCCACAGATAATTTGGGTGTTTGTCCACGTGAATTTTATATTAGTAAATTGCTCTTATAACACTGGATAATGTTAGGTTACAGCAGTAAGGGCAATAAAAAAAAAACCTCAGATCTATAACCACCGCGGTGGAACTTATGCCGTGTGATATAGTCACACGGAAGATTATATATCTTATGCCGGCTTGACTCCGAAAGCACCACGCTGTCACAGAAGAAGAGTTTACTTTTCCCTTTCGTCCGGTAAGTAAGGAAATGATAGCCCTATCTTATAGGTTAGCAATTCCGCATCTTCACCTGTGATCTGAGTGTTAATGGACTTGTTATGACGGCATTTATCACAAGGTGAACAACTTTCTTACACGACACCTGATTCTTAAAAACAGGAGCAGAAGTAGTAGTAGATAACAAACAGTTCATGACAAGTGATGAAACGGTAAAGTCCATACTTTAATTCGACTACTCACGAAGTTTATATACTTTGTCGTTTTCCATTAATGTATTTCTACAGTGTCAATACTGATTTTTCTTTCTGAATCGATGGAACAATAATTATCTTACGATCAGATTATCGTAACATTCACAAGTTGTTGGTATTGCCATAAAGCCTGTTGTATGTTTCGACAGTTTGTTTTGACTTCATTTGTTATGCAAAATTCCGATAAATATCAATTCAGTTTAGGACATTTTTCTTATATAAATTGGAGGAAATAAATTTTGTAGTTTGATAGTCAATTATTTTACTTGTAATTGATATTCGTAAAGTTCTCAAGTCGCAGCTTCGTATTGGCCATCGTAGTGTAGGGCGATCCCCACTAGATGGAGTGACGATCTGTGCAAACGTGCAGGAAGCCCATGGATGCAGGTGGCTCAGGATCATGCTTCGTGAGTCTGTAGGGGATGCCTATGTTCACCAGTGGACTTGAACGAACTGAAATGATGATCATAATATACGTAAATTTCGTAAGTCAAGACCAGATGCTTAGCTGAGTAGGAAGTATTCCTTAGCGATATTTTGAACCAAAACACTAGCCTCATCACTAATGTAATAGAGCAGTCTACCCGTATCCGCCTGTTCGATAAATGCGTCTTCGAGGAAAGACTGAGTAGAGTTCTATAGAACCAGTGCTTTTACCAATATTGACTACATCAACAATTACCATCAGGAAACGTACTCAACTATCATACGCATACGCGAGAGCAGTTTGCTTATATCATCTTAGTCGCTGCGAATTCGTTTCTTCATGTTTCATACTTTTCTAGCGATCTAAACCAAAGACAAGACGAAATGTTGCACTGTATATAGTCCTTTAAATGAATATTTTCTTTGTGTAATACCTAACGGGAACATATTTATTATGCATAGTGTAAAATAAAAAAAAAACTTGCGTGGTTTATTTAAACGTAAGATTATGAAGATGTCAAAATTAAATGGTGCCCGAGTATTCCCGCCAAAAATCTAATACAATAACGGACAGGTTGTCAAAAGCAACTCCGCGAACGCAACTACAGAAACTTGACGTATACGCAAAGGCGCGAAGTGCTGTTTAGTAGTGTAGTTCTTGAAAATATTCAATTGTACTTGTTTCTCTTATAGCATCGTCTGCGGTGTTAAGCAATTGCGATTGTACTTTATTGGGTAATTCATGATAGGACATAAAAAAACATGGGAGTCTGGCTCGGTATCGACCCGCGGATTGTGCGCGCGCCGCCCCTCCGCTCGTTGGATTGCGTTAGGGTTGACACCGTTCCGTTTTATCTTTTGGACCCGCCCTAGACGAGTTAAAATGTGATCAGTTTAAGCACATCCTAGGTGCTTTTGATACGTTGATATAATATAACAAATGCTTAGAATCCTAGAAATGGTTTAACAAAAAGTGAAACAAGAAAATTTTCATATACCTGTTAATTGATTGTTTTAACAATTTGAATGATGGATCTGATATATCTCCAATTTTTCGTACGAAGTAATTGATACCTAGGTTATCTGTGCTTTGAATAAGTAGATGCGATGAAAATTGGGGAATTGGTGGGAATGCGTTAAAGTGTAGGAAAAGCTAATTATTGTGTAATTTTCTAAAGTTTTTGGTGTTATTATAACTTATTATATACCTGCTTTTATGGTTATATAATTGTCATGATTCAATAAAACATTCTTAACTATAACAATGATAGTACTTGAAACGGCTGCGATAATATTTATGACGAGTACAACAAATCACCGAATTCATCGGTTGTAATAAATTAATATTAATCATTATAAAAAAATGTTTTCGATTTGGATAAAGTATAATATATATGACTCATGTGGCAGGTTTAGGTTGATATTAGTACTTTTCGCGTCAGATAAGTATAGGACAATTCCTGCTATTATAACTAGACAGTATGGGCACCCTAACCTCCGCGAAGGGTGTCGACTTGCCGACGACACAAGTGCGACCAGCGTATCCCTACTCTCTTCTTGCACACATCTGCGCGTAGGAACTTACGGTAATTCTCCTTAAAATGAGTAATTTTGTAAAAATAATTTAATGAAAATAGATTTGGATTTTTTCCCTTTATATACAATATGTTAGGTATTCAAAAATAAACGTGAATTCAAAGGTATTATATCTTTTGCCCTTATGCCCTTTGCCCATGGGAATGAGGCTACCGTCCGTCAAATTTTAATATCAGGTTCAAAACCGTTTATTATATTTGCCAAGTGAATTATGAATATGGTTAAATATATCCTAATATTTTATATGTAGTATCTGTAATTAGCGCTTTTACGTATATCCTCATTTGCGGTACCGAACGTTTTATGTTTATTAATCATTTAAAACGTCGACGCTGTCAATGTTTTTAATGAGCTCTAATTTAGGTGCGAAACTATAATCTAATCATGTAATGAGATTAAGCCATAACTATTTGTTTCATTCTTATGAGGCCATTTATTATTATCTATTGATTTTCATGACACTAGGTGTCGATGGTTTTTTCAATCGCGCGCTGGTTACTTATACCGGTAATTTTCCCGCCATTTTTGCAACAAAATTCCATTTGTCAAAGGGCGTTTGCCATTACAGCGATCAATATCATAGGCGATGATTCTTTCGACCATCGCCATGGCTGTGCAAATGTGTTTTGTCAAGGTGATCGCTAGCAGTGTACAAGTACGTGTCGACGTATTATCGAATCGCTTTGTAACTTATTTTCGTGTATAACTTGTATACGCCATTGATGAATCGGGTTTAACGACACCGCACGTGACTAGATACGTTGATAGCAAATGTTTTCTACACTAAGAGTGATTAGAAATTAGGGTCTATTTTTAATATATTGATGAATCTATGCAAGGCATACGTAAATGATTTTATTCGAGTAGGTACAGATTTTCGGAATAGTGATAATAAATAGTTAAATTAGTTTTTAAAGTTAAATGGTGTAATACACAATTAAGTAACTATAAAATGGATTTATTTATTTTTAATTATTAATTAAAACGTCAATGACTGCGTTTAAATTTTGTTACAAACTTTCTTCTATCGTATAATGAAGTAAAATATTAAGTTGTATTTTTTTCTATGATATTTTTAGAATATCTATTATACTTATCTGTTTTATTAGAATTATTACGCGAGAATAAATCGTGCATCACGCAAATATTGGCTAAAAATAGTATGCTGTGTTATCTCCTAATGCAAGAGTTACTTGATGAACCAGTCCTTTTAACGTACCAATGTTGCACATCTATAGGGTTTTATATTTACTGCTCGGCAAAAGGCAGATGTTCCGATAGTCAAACATGTGCCAATATATAAAAGACCTAACTATATTCGTATATTAAATTTTCATGAAGAAGACTAAGGTTTAGGTCTTCAAATTATCAAAATTATCTTTATATATACCATAGAATATTTATGTAGTCGTTTTTATAAAGGCGAAATATAAATATATGGTCCTGTTGGCGAGTTTCTAAACAGTAGGCGTCTTCAGGTAGTTGGTTCGACGATGAACATGACTATAATATGTACACGATTTCAGATCAAGTCGAATTGACTCTATAGTTAACGCCTCAAGCGCGAAGAAAAGGCTAAATCTCACTATGGAGTTCCGCGATACAGTGTGTATATTGTAAATAATTAAAAATCTTTTAAATATCTCTGTATCGTTCATGACAGTGTAATCTTCATTACATAGTATAAAACAAAGTCGTCTCGCTGTCTGTCGGTTCCTATGTATGCTTATATCTTTAAAAGTACGCAACGGATCTTGATGCAGTTTTTTTTATTATATAGAGTGATTCAAGAGGAAAGTTTATATGTATAATACATTGCACCCGTGTAAAGCCGGGGCGGATCGCTAGTTTAGTATACATTTAAATACAGTACACCACTCTACCTCTATCCCATTCCCATATGCATACTTCATCGTCATCACTATTCCACCCTGTTCTAGTCCACTGCTGAATATAGGCCTTCCCCACAGACTGCTTCGAAGTATTCAAGGGACATTATTTTTATTGTATTACTACCTAAAATAACAGCAGTGCTTTTGCTACCTTTCCGGTGTTGCGAATACGGATCCCGAATCGAGCGCTATTTTAATTATTATTTTTAACTATTATTATCATTATATTTAACTAGTGGAAGCATTGCGTATACGAAAAAAATGACCTAC